GAAACCTAAAAAAAAAAAAGGAACCTTACCACTCCTGCATGCCACTTCTAGTCAGTCCTAATATTATCATGTTGTTTCTTTCTACCTCATTGACAGCAAACACATGAACAATGGATCTGAAAATCATTAATAATAATTATATTAACCCATATTATTTTGAGCATTTGCTAGAGGCAAGGTGTTATGAATTAAGCACCAAGATAGATGGTATTAATATCTTCAGTTTTCAGATGAGGAAATCAAGTTTTAAGTCTAAGAGGTTTACAAATAGATAAGTGATGATTTAGGAATTGCTAAAATTTACACAGCTAGTAAGTTGTGGAACAGGGATTCAATTAGGTCTGTCTGACACCAAAGTTTAAGTTTAACAACATATTAATCACACCTATCCATGTTCTTGCCACCATAAAATGTTTAGGTCCTCTACTCACAGTATCTGCCCCAGATAGAAAATTTATAGTCAATTAATTTACTCTGTGATATAAACAAGATATTGTTTCAAAATTAGAATAACCTAAGCTCACACTGAACAATTGTCTTACTTAATGAACTAGGTCAAAATTAGTAAGTAAAATGTGACTCTTACTTCTCCTTTTGTCTTTTTTATTTCAACAATCAAATTATATTTTCTACCAACTCCAGTTATCTGACTACAGCCATACCATCCACCAAATTATTTTCAATATTGCTGTGACAATCTATCTTATTACTCACAAATATAGATGAGTCTATAGTTCCCAATTCTCAGTTTTTACCTCATCTCCCAGAAATCCTCTAACAAAATAATTCAAGAGTATGATAGATGTACTATAAAAGTATATTTTCTTGAATTATTTTTTCCAACCAAATAATTCAAGATGATAGGTGTACAATAAAAGTATATATTTTCAGAGAGCTCAATATGAAACCTCTGCCCAGTACATAGGGTGAGTGACTCCTTTCTGAAACTCAGATACACTGAAACTAAGAGCATATGAAAATAAAGGTAAGCAATAGAAAGAGATGTTTTGTAAAGATTTAAACATCGATTTAGCAACTCTGTTTAAAGGTATGAAGAATGATAACTAGTTAGTATTCACTATTCCAAAAAGTGCTATAAGAATCTGTAAAGCATCTAGACCCAGAGATGAAAGCACTTTCCACCAGGGAAGTTAGAGAAAATGTCAAAATATGAAAGTTGAATTGTATTGAAAAGCAAAACAAGATAATAAAAGCATATCCAAAAATTTCTCCTATATGATTTCATTAACAGACATTGCCAGTTGACACATTCCTTGTCTCTTTAAACCTAGTTGTATCTGGGCTCTGTTTCACATCCATCAATCAGTTGTACAAATTTGGGGAAATTATTTAACTACCAGGAGCCCTACATTTATGCATTTGTACCTATTTCTGCATTTATACCTAGGGATAATAGTACCTATCTTACAAAGTTGATATGAGGATTAAAGACAGTGTTTATAATGCATCTGACATGAGCCTAACAAACACACACACACAGGAAATGATACTTATTATTATGATAAATTATATAAGAACATGTAGGACATGAATAAATCTTAGTTTTACATAAATTACTCTGGAAGAGTCTGAAAAATGTATTACAAGGAAGAAGAAACTAGTAGTTGGAAATAACACCCAGAAGTTGTTCTAAAGAAAACTAAATTGTTCAAAAGAAAACTAATGGGTCGGGTGCAGTGGCTCACATTTGTAATTTCAGTAGTTTGGGAGGCCGAGGTGGGCAGATTACAAGGTCAGGAGGTAGAGACCATTCTGGCCAACCTGGTAAAACCACGTCTCTTCTAAAATAAAAAAAAAATTAGCCGGGCATTGTGGCACATGCCTGTCATCCCAGCTACTCAGAAGTCTAAGGCAGGGTAATCTTTTGAACTCGAGAGGTGGTGATTGCAGTGGGCCGAGATTGCACCACTGCAACACTTTAGCCTGGTGATGATGAAGCAAGACTTCATCTCAAAAAAAAAAAAAAAAAAAAGAAAAAAAAAAGAAATAAACCTACTGAATACTTCAACTAAAGAAGAAACAATGAGGATAAGGAACAGAGGATGACCTTGACAGATATTTAGAAAGATAATTAATAGAGTTTGATAACTAATCAGATTTGGAAGATTTGAGAGATTGTTGGATAGTGATGAACAGCAGTTAGAAATGTTAATAGGTTAAATATAAGATATATCAAATAGATGTTGGTGTTTTTTGAAAAATAAAAAGATGTTTCTAACAGCATGATAATAAGACTAGTCAGGTGGGAGAGGTGAATGATATGAGCCTGAAGAAATGTAGGGCAGGTTCAAACAGAGAAAAAGACATGAAAGGAGCTATTAGAAAGTAGAAGTTTGTACCTTGCAAATGATTAAATAGTGAGGCAAGAAGACATACTAGTGAAAGGTAAGTGCTCGTTGAAGATACTACCATTACTTAGAAAGAACCTTAAAACTCATAGAGCTAATTCACTCTAAGGTTCCAAATGATAAGTTCATGTGAAATATTGGTTTGCTCATCATTGACATCTCAAATTTGTCTCCTCAAGTAAAATACCTGGCTTGATTTTACAAATCCATAATGTTTACCTTTTTTATTTTGGTTCATATTAAAAACTGTATTCTACATTTTATTTTTTAAATTTCTTTAGATTTGGAGGGTACATGTGCAGCTTTGTTACATGGGCATATTGTATGATGCTAAGGTTTGGGCTTCTAATGATCCCATTGCCAAACTTTGAACATATTACCCAATAGGTAGTTTTTCAGCCCTTTCTCTGTTCCTTCCCTCTTCCCTTCTGGAATTTCCAGTGTTTATTTTTCCCATCTTTTTGTCCATGCACACTAATGTTTAGCTCTCACTTAAGAGTGAGAATATGCTGTATTTGGTTTTCTCATTCTGTGTTAATTCACTTAGAATAATGGCCTCAAGCTGCATCCCTGTTGGTGCAAAGGATGTGATTTTGTTCTTTTTTATGGCTGTGTAGTATTTTTTGGGGTATATGTACCACATTTTCTTTGTCCAGTTTTACCATTGATGGGCACCTGGGTTGATTACATGTTTTTGCTCTTGTGAATAGTGCCACAGTAAACTAACGGAGTGCAGGAATATTTTTGGTAGAACAGTTTATTTTGCTTTGGGCATATACCCAGTAATGGGATTGCTGGGTCTAATGATAGTTCCATTTTCAGTTCTTTGAGAAATCTCCACCTTGCTTTCCAACATGCTAAACTAATTTACATTCCCACAACAGTATATAAGCATTCCCTTTTTTTCTGCAACCTCACCAACATATGTTATTTTTTGACTTTTTATTTAAAAGTTGGTACTAAAGAACCTGGTATTGGTATGACATGTATCACATTGAGCAAGAATAAACTTGGCTAATAAAGTGATTTATTAAATGATGGTTTTATCCACTTTTGAGAGTGATGGTAAAGTAGGCACTGTTTAACCCAAGGTATCTTATCTATAGATATAGTTATATTATTTATGGAGAAAAGTCACAGCATATTTATAGATACAGTATAAAAAGGCACTTAATTCAGTACTCGATGAAGACAGTTTAATATTGGTTTTTAAATATCTCAATTCATGTTTTAGAATAAAAACTATATGCATTCCACTCTACGGTTACCTTCAGCATACATAGTTACTTCAGCTAAAGTACTTATCCATTGTGTTTTGTTTACTTCTTTCCTAAAGGAATGATGAGAACCCCTTACAAGTGTGGCTAAGAAAATAATCTTTGCTTTATACCAGGTTAAAGTTCTTTGTTATTGCTGTTTTTCAAATTCCTTCCTGCATGTTCTACAGAAATCTTTCATTTGAATGCCGTTTCTCCTCTGCTTATTGCTCTACCTGTTCTTTGGCAATGAACAGGAGAGAAGAGCCACTCCCTCATTGCAATCTATACTGAAAATGGATTTCCTATTATATAATATTATGATCCTTCCTGAGAAACACTATGAAACTTCAGTCAAATATTTTTTTTTACATGTTGGTATGAACAATTAATACTTCATTTTGAAACTTCAAATTTTTACCAGCCTGGGCAACATAGTGAGACCCCCCCCAAAACAAAAAATTAACCAGGCCTGGTGGCACATGCCTGTAGTCTTAATGCCTGTAGTCCTAGCTATTTGGGAGGCTGAGGCTGGAGGACTGCTTGAGCCCAGGAGTTTGAGGCTGCAGTGAGCTATGATCCCACCACTGTGCTTCAGCCTGGGCAACAGAGTGAGACTGTCTCTAGCAAAAAAAAAGAAAAAAAAAAAAAGAAAGAAAGAAACTTTAAATATTTACAGTGTTTTGGAAAATTCCTATTTGGTATTTGAATAATTGAAACATTTAATCTTAATGAAAGATGAAGCCTCAGGGATAACTTTCCAAGATATTTGTAATTCTTTATATTGCATTCGTGAAAGGCGATCATTTAGGTTCTATTTGATTACTTGCAGTAATGGGAAGCTTAGTCTCTGAGGCAACCCATTTTATTGTTATATGAGTTTAGTTGTTAAATTGTTATAATCTTTCTTTTAAGGCAGATGTCACTGAATTCTTGAAATTAGGAACATGGATGAAGCTGGAAACCATCATTCTCAGCAAACTGACACAAGAACAGAAAACCAAACAGTGCATGTTCTCATTCATAAGTGGGTGTTGAACAATGAGAACACATGGACACAGGGAGGGGAACATCACACACCGGGGCCTGTTGGGAGATGGCGGGGGGAGCTAGGGGAGGGATAGCAGGGGTGTGGAGGGATTGGAGAGGGATAACATTAGGAGAAATACCTAATGTAGATGATGTGGGGATGGATGCAGCAAACTACCATGGCATGTGTATACCTATGTAACAATCCTGCCAATCACTTCTAGCCACATTGGCCTTCTTTTAATTTTTCTTTGTTTTTCTCTCCTATAGAGTGTTTTCTTATGCTTTTCTTCATCCTAGCTCTCTTCCTAATTTTCTTTCAGCTTTCACCAAGCTAACCTTTTTTTTTAATTTAAAAATACAGATGATTTTGTGTATCATCCTTTTGTAGGAGCCATGCTAATCTTCTCTGTATCATTCCAATTTTAGTATATGTGCTGCTGAAGTGGGCACCAAACTAACCTTTGTCTTTTAGAACTCATCACAATCGTTTCTTTAATTAAGCATTCCACAGTCTGCCTCATTAGATCAAATTCTCCAGTTATATGCATTCATAGTGCTCTGTACTTCTTTGTAACTTATATCACAGTTGTTATTTTAATTCATCAGTGATTAATTTTTAAGCCTCTTTAACCCAGTGATTTCATTCACTATGTATCATCAGCATTTATCACAGAGCTGACACATGGCAGGTATGCAGTAAATATTTGTTGAATAAAGTCAATGAAAAATAATAATAGGTCTGTGTTTTAGATACATCGGAAAATGTCAGTTCTTCTATATGACAATACATTAAAAAATGTTGAGACAGCTAGAATATGTCATTGTCTTTCAGATGAAAAGGCTATATAAATCCTGCCCTTAGATTGTCTTTCCTCTGCCAGAGAGCCCTTTACCATCTTGGTTGCTCATTCTTTTCTGGAAGCATTCAGATTAGTCAATGTGGCTTGTATTGTATAGTGAGGCACTTATTTCTTAACATAATGCCCAACTTTAGAGATTTCCTTTAGGATCTAGAAATCTATGTTAGATAAGAAATAGCTTTATGAGATTAGCCTCTAGAGTATGATTTTAAGGTTTTGGTTCATTTTACATGCAGTAGTTTAATTTCCATATAGGTTGTCTTTTGAAGAAAAGCTCTTGGTTTCTGTTAGATTTCTTTCTTTTCAGTACTCAGGTATAGATGGGCATGGGATTCCTTGAACTATGATTAAAAGAAATTTATTTCTGCAAGCCCTAACAATTACTCTGTATTTCTTTCTGTAGTGAAATCATGAGCTTCAAAATCAGTAACATAGAGTAAATATTTCTTGGATAGCATTTCACAATAAAAACCCATATTCACCCTTGTAACTTAGAAGGAAGCAATGCAAATTGTAGAAAGTGCAATTAAAGCTGGAAATAAACTATACTATTACTTTTTTATATGTGTCAACTTCAACATAGTCAACATATATATGTTGTTCATTGTTAGCCTTTCTCATCTAGATTAAATAACAAGTTAATAAATGTTTACTGCTTGTCTACTCTCTGTTAGATACTAAGCTAGGTGCTATTTTAGTGTCTTGGAGTAATAGCTTATTTTTCTGTTTATAAAGCTAATATAATTTCAAAGTAGAGTATTTGAAAAATACAGAGAACACAAATACTTTAACCCTCTACTTATAACACTTTGATATGTATGTTATTTAATATTCATTTAATAACTACTGAGTGCTTATAATTTGCCATCAATTGTTCTAGAAACTAGGGATACATTAGTTAACAAAAAGATAAAATTTTTGTTCTCATGGATCTTACAACCTAGAGAGGAGAGATATAAAATAAAGTATATAATATGTCAGCTGGTAAGCACCACAATAAATAAAAGAGAGTAGGGGGGATAAAAGAATATACATAAGGTAGAAAGGGAAGACGTCATTTCTAATAAAGTGACATTCGATTAAAGAGCTGAAGGACTTGAGAGAGGGTTAATCAGGAAGAAGGAGTAGCAAGTGTAAGGGCTTTGAGGCAGGATTACACATGGTATACATGGAATATTGGAGAAAGTCAACCATGAGAGAGCAAAGGAGGGATTTGACTTGTGTTTAAAAAGATCCAGTGTCTTAGTGGTTTCTGTTGCTTGCAACAGAATACCTGGGAATTGGATAATTTATAAAGAAAAGGAATTTAATTTTTACAGTTATGGTGGCTGAGAAGTCTAAAATCAAGGGAGCACATCTGCAGAGGTCCTTCTTGCTGTTGAGGGCTCTGTAGTGTCCCAAGGCAGCACAGAGTATCTATCACATGGTGAGGGGGTTGAGCAGCTAGCTCAGGTTCTCTGTTTCTTCTTCCTCCTCCTCTTCCTCCTCTCTCTCCTTCTTTGCCTCCCCCTCCTTCTCCCCTTTTTCCTCCTCTCCCTCCCCTCCTCTTCCTCCTTGTTCTTTTTCCTCTTTCTCTTCTCTTCTCCTTCTTCCTTCTTTGTTCCTCTTCCTTCTTCCTTTTCTTTGTTCTAATCCTTCATTCCCTCCTCCTCCTCCCCTCCTCCATTCCTCCTTTCCCCTCCTCCTTCTTTCCTCCTCCTCTTCCTAAGCTGTTTGGCAATACCTAGTTCTCCCATCCTCCTCCTCCTCTTTTTCCTACTCTTCTTCCTTCTTCTCCTCCTTCTTCTTTTTCCTTCTCTTCCTTTTTAAAAAATATATTTTATTGCACTTTAGGTTCTAGGGTACATGTACAGAACATGCAGGATTGTTGCATAGGTACATACATGCAATGTGGTTTGTGGCATCCCCATCACCTATATCTGGCATTTCTCCCCATGTTACCATCCCCAACTCCCTACCCCCCACTATCCCTCCCCTAGTTTCCCCAACATGTGGTGTTGACCCCAGCATGTGATGCTCCCCCCCAGTGTCCATGTGTTTCCATTGTTCAACACCTGTTTGAGTGAGAACATGCTGTGTTTGATTTTCTGTTCTTGTGTCAGTTTGCTGAGAATGATGGTTTCCAGATTCATCCATGTCCCTACAAAGGACATGAGCTCATCGTTTTTTATGTCTTTGTAGTATTCCATGGTGTATATCTGCCACATTTTCTTTATACAGTCTATCATTGATGGGCATTAGGATATGCTCCAAGCCTTTGCTATTGTAAAATAGTCTCATCTTCTTTTTCTTCTTCCATCTTCTTCCCTTCCTCTTTGAACTAATTTTTTGAGTTTTAGTGAACTGAGGTCTTACTATATGGTCTAGGTGGGTCTTGAACTCCTGAACTCAATTCATCCTTCCGCCTTGCCCTCTGAATGTGTTAGGATTACAGGCATGAGCTACCATGCCTTGTCTTTGTTTCTTTTCTTGTAAAGCCACCAGTTCCACTTTGATGATAACTCATTAATCCATTAACAGGATTAATTCTTTCATGAAGGAAGAACCTTGATGAACCAATCACCTTTTAAAAGCATATTGAAGACAAGTTTCAACATAAATTTTCGAGGGAACATTTGAACCATAGGACCCATCCTAGATACTCTATCAATAGGCTATATGGGAAAGAGTAAAACCAGGTAGACTGGTTAGAAGTCAACTGCAATGGAAAAGGAAAGAGAATATAGTGACTCAGATCAAAGAGATGAGAAGTGGCTGGAAACTGAATACATATTGTCATTAGAATTTGTTGATGGATCAATTAAGGAGAGTAAGAAAAGAAGTATCAAGAAAGCTATTATTTTTTCCTTCAGTCTTTAAAAGTTAACCTTAAGAAAGTTTTAATGCAAAAAAATATAAAATACACTTATAATGGTACAGTATATTTACTGTACAGTGTAATAATTAATCACCTCTGTATGCATCTCTGAAAAAATAGTTTGCTTATTTATGAATGTTATATAAGTTGAATAATACTTTATATATTCTTTTGTTTCTTTCTTCCTCATACTGGAGTATGCTTATGAGATTCACCTATATTGTAGGGAATAGTGTTTGTTCAGTTTTTATTGCTATACAGTATTCTATTGCAGAATTATATTGTAATGTATCCATTCCAGAGTGAGTAGACATTTGGGTTGTTTTCAGCCTTCGCTATTAAAAATCACTGCTGCTATGAACATTTTTGTATGTGTGTTCAGGTGCATAAGAGTTTTTCAATGGTACATTTCCTCTCTTTAAAAATTGTAAGTTCTGTGATACACGTGCAGAATGTGTAGAATTGTTACTTAGGCATACATGTGCCATGGTGGTTTGCTGCACCTATCAAACCATCATCTAGGTTTTAAGCTCTGCATGTATTGGGTATCTGTCCTAATGCTCTCCCGCTTCTCAACAGGCCCTGATGGGTGATATTCCCCTCCCTGCATCCATATGTCCTCATTGTTCAGTTCTCAATTATGAGTGAGAAAATGCGGTGTCTGATTTTCTGTTCCTGTGTTAGTTTGCTGAGAATGATGGCTTCCAACTTTATCTATGTCCCTGCAAAGGACATGAACTCATTCTTTTTATTGCTGCATAGTATTCCATGGTGTACATATGCCACATTTTCTTTATCCAGTCTATCATTGATGGGCATTTGGATTGGCTCCAAGTCTTTGCTATTGTAAATAGCACTGCAGTAAACATACGTGTGCATGTGTCTTTATAGTAGAATGATTTCTAATCCTTTGGGTACATACCCAGTAATGGGATTGCTGGGTCAAATGGTATTTCTTGTTCTAGATCCTTGAGGAATTACCATACTGTCTTCCACAATGGTTGAGCTAATTTACACTCCCACCAACAGTGTAAAAGCATTCCTATTTCTCCACATCCTCTCCAGCATCTGTTATTTCCTGACTTTTTAATAATCACCATTCTAACTGGCGTGAGATGGTATCTCATTGTGGTTTTGATTTGCATTTCTCTAATGACCACTGATTATGATAATTTTTTTCATATGTTTCTTGGCCAAATAAATATCTTCTTTTGAGAAGTATCTGTTCATATCCTTTGCCTACTTTCTGATGGGTTTGTTTGTTGTTGTTGTTGTTGTTGTAAATTTGTTTAAGTTCCTTGTAGATTATGGATATTAGACTTTTGTCAGATAGATAGATTGCAAAATTTTTCTACCATTCTGTAGTCTGCCTGTTCATTTCTAGAGTATATTTTTAAGAGATAAATTGCTTGATCTTAGAGAATGTGATTGTTCTATTTAATTAGGTATTGCCAAACAACTTTCAAAGTAGGTATACCTACTTAAACATTCAACAACAGAGACTTTATATTGTTCTACATCTTTGCCAAACATATGTAGTCAATACTTTTGCCAATGTAGTGGATGAATGTTTGCTTATTGCAGTTTTAATTTGTATTATTTTAATTATTAATGAGGTATATAATATCTTTGTATGTTCATTGGCCATTTGTATATTATTATTTTCATAAAATATCTGTTTAAGTCTCTTGACCACTATTCTAATGGGTTGTATTTTTATTGATATGTGGGAG